ACTAGGTTACACGTCACTGCTCAGTTTCCATAAATGTGCCTTCAACAGCATGAAACCATCTATAATGACAGTGTGCATTTTTTTTATGCATTAACTCTTACCTGCAGAAAACCAGCCTACAATAAGGAGGTGAACATAAGTGAACTTAAAGCACAGAAAAGTTCCAAAGCAGCAATAGGCATTGTTACTGGTGTAAGATTTCAAAGTCTCCCATTCAGTAGCTATCATCCCCTGCCATGCAAGAAGGTTCATCATCATATCTAACCAACAATGTTTTGTGACACTGTAACAATTTAATCCACTGATTCCTATCTAGATGTAATATTTTTTCTTGGGGTACAGTCTTATTCATCCTGATGTCACCTGGAAGTCATCTGCGAGTATTGCTTAGCATTGTACCTAAGAAGAAGGCCTAAACACATAATGAGAGACAACTGAAGAGGGCAAATTCCACATTAGGAACAGTCTCTGCTTTGGCCAGCACGAGACTCACACGGTGCCTTTGACTGTCCTAAGGGTTGGCATGACAGAGGGACAAGATCACCACTTGGAGCCACCTGCTCCTCAGGTCCAAAGGCAGTGGGCCAGGCAAACCTGTCCCAGTGCTGCTAGTTGGATAGTGCTGGTCTATTAAAAAAAAAAAAAAGTCTTTGGCAAGCACTTCTAGAAACAGTCCCATTCATCGTTCTTGCCTCACAAACAATTAAGTTCAGCAAGCTGCTGCTAAAGCAGATTTTTAACCCTGTTAATTCAAGAGCATGCAATTGTTTTAAACAAATTGGTATGTGTATTACACTATAATGTCTTCTTTTGTGAAAAGTAGGCCAACGTATTCCTCTTCTTTTATTGCCAAGACTTGCCTATTTATTCTTAATCAGCAGATAATTTTGCTGTATGTACCTCAAAGTGTGGTCCCGTGAACTGAATGCCCAATGGCAGCTGGAAAGCATTAGCCAGTCCTTTAGAGTATGTCTACTGGCTTGGTTCCCTCCAGGATAAACCCTTTTTGCATACTCCAATTCTGTTTTGCCATGTAAACCAAAGCAGGTTACCAGGCAAAGATCCACAGATTCATTTCAGCCATTTAACTGATGACATTTATGCAGCTGTGCTTTACACAGCACATTCTTAAGTAGAAGAGTAAAGCCTGAAGTTTGGCATGGGAGTTTACAGTTATACAACTATATAATCTGATTCACTGGTCAGTTTTGACTCTGAGTTCCCAGCTGAGCATATAGGTACCTGAATGTACCTGATAGGTACCTAATTGAGGTGCTTTGTATCTGTAAGTCAAATTTGAAACTTTGGACCCTAATTACTTGTTTAGGCATTTAAATATAAATAACTAAGCACCACTGCTTCTTACTGGCTTTAGCAAGATGTGGAAGCTAAGCTGCCTATGCCTAGTCATGAGCACAGCTATCCACAATGCATATCCCTGCAATATTCACTCCATGCAACTCTGCTGCTCACACATGCATTGAATTCTGTTTCTGCTGGTAATACACTTCTCTGTATACTTGCCATGATTTAACCTGGACACACACTGGTCTTCCTCCTGATGACAGAGAATCTCAGAGCTGGAGTTAATAGATTTGTTGACATACGCCAGGCCTCCCTTATATCAGATAGTGATGCTATGGCATGTTTCTGCCACCAGCACCTTTGCAAAGATTTTCTCCTTGCAGAATATATGTTAATTCAAACAGCATCCATCTACAACTAAAACTCCAACAGTTTGCAGAACTCGAAGGCAGCAAAAAGGGCATGTCAGTGGTCCTTCCCTGAGCATCCAGTGCTATAAAGTCTGCTTGAACAGATCGTCTAGCATACGCACAGATTTTCTGCAAATATTATCCTGTGCAGAAATTTGTCTGACTCTTTGTAATATACTTCTCATTACCTTATTATTTTTTTTTATTTCCAACTTAACAGCAAAGAGAAAGCATTATTTACAATAACTGTCTCCTGTGTGCCAGTATGCATATAAATACAAATATATATATATATATCCTGATAGGGCAATAAGGCAGTTAACTCAATATAGCATATACCGGAAGATGCATCTAAAAAGGTCATAATCTATTCCCACAAGACAGAAAAAAGTAAAGTGATGCACAGAAATGTAACAGGAAGAAAACAGCAGTAAGAGGAGGAAACAGCATATAAGGAGAAATTCCTGTCAGACAGTCCTGTTAGATGGTGAAATAAGATACCCAGCCACAGAAATGTAAATCCATTGCACAAAAAAAAAAAAAAAAAGTAAACGAAACTTTATACATCACTTCATTTAAAACAACGCACTTAGATGTACAGACAGCTCAACACAAAAGTCTATTGTATACTTAAATACAGTTTTAATCACTTTGAGACACAGAAGTGAAGGGCTTGATAGATAGCACAGCAGAAGCACAGCCAGAAGCACTAATGCCCTGTGACTTCACTCCATGTTCTGCACCTCCCACTGTGTCACCAGCCTGGCTCATGTCCTGGAGAACCACCTTTATTATTAATAACTATTAACCTCAGCCTCCTCCCCAGAGCAGTCTGATGTGGCTCACTATTGCAAAAAGCAAGCCAGTCTATGAAGACTACACAATGCAGCTGGGATGTAGGCACTGCAGCAGAGCTCCCAGAAGTCATTTCCAGCCCTGCAAACCTTTAGTGCCCTTGTCCTGGACACTTCTGCTTCCTGAGCAGGCAACGTACACAGGGCACACTGCTCACAGACACAAGAGGATACTGTCTTCGCCCTCCAACTCCCCCAGATATCTAACAAAACACCCTGGATATCTGGTAAGCCAACCAACACCTTCTGACCAGCTGTTCCCACCACAGCCAGCCATACTGAAGTCTATCTATCTTTAACCGTATAGCTGCTCCTTGCAGTTAATACCTGAGCACACAAAGTTGAAGTCTACTTGTATTAATAGATACCAGTTGCTGAATTTTTGCCACATCATTACAGGTATTTGCAGCAGTACATCAACTTGCAAGTTACAACTGCCTTTAGGTGCCAGACTGTATCAATAACATACGCAGGCTAACTCAGCTTACTACTGTTCACTTTGCTTGGTATCTGCATTGAGCCAGTAGGGATTTCAGGGGAATTTTATGGGTCACTAAAGTAAGAAATTGTGTATCTCTTGTGAGGCACAGTTTACAGCTTCCCAAGACTACTGGAGAAGTGAAGGTCAGGCTCCTGTCTTGTGAGGAACTAGAGGTAACATCCTCACAAGGATATTTTGCTGTTGCCTCACTGATTTCATTGTTTGCTGCATAATATGTTTTATCCATAAAAGCTGGAAAGTTAAACTTCCCACCAAGTACAATTATTGATGCCTACTGTCTCAGCCAACAGAATGGTTGCACTTCTTCCCTGCTTACACTTTATGCATTATTGTATACATGCTTGAAACCTTGCTTCAGTCTTCCCAGGCTTTTGTTTAAACCACTCAAGACTGTAAAGTACTGCTTACATTTTACATATAAGTTGATTTCAGGACAGTTCATTTTAGTATTTTTTTGGCTCTAAGTACTGATTAAGCCCCAAGCAAAGAACAGAAATATGTTTATCAGCTGTAAAACCATTAAAAATTAAGAAACATGCATTTACCAAGGGAAAAATATAAAAATGTATACTAAAACATCCAGACTTCATATTTTCTATGTCTCAAGGCAATAGCCTTAAAGGCAGTTTCTGGTACCACAGCTACCAAAGGTGTTTACTCTCTCAGCTCCTCCAGGTGACTTTCTCAAAATCCTAGAGCAGATACCAGCTGAGGAATGCAGGTTAAATAGAAAAACAGGCTGCACAGCAACTCCTGTATCATAATTGCAAAAAAGAATACTTGGAAAAGTCTGATGCCCATCTAGCTTTTGTTTCAGCCAAAACCTGGTTATATTGCCATCGTACAGCCCCTTGCAAGACAGCAACAAAGGCCAAGCAGTCCTCCATATCTCCTGTTCAAGAGAGTGTTATTCCAGGAATGCTGAATTTGAACTACCCTTAGCAGCAACAATGAAACTGAGAGCAAGTGGCTTCCCAGAAACCACAACTGTTGAAGATAGCCCCATGCAGAAATGACCACATTTCAGCAAGTGCTACTGTCAATCACTGCAAGCCAGCGTAGAGGAAATGTAATTGTGATAACTAGGTATTTTTAGTGTTTATAGAAGAAGTGAATAGTTTAGCCTTGTTGCTCACAGGAAAGGAGATCATTACTATGCCATGTTAATGTCAAGTTCTGGAGCATACATACAGACTGTGCACAGAAATTGGGTGATGTTTTTCCTTTTAACACAAGGCCAAATCAGGCAGCATCTTCCATATTAAGTTTCCGTAACAGGATCTCTAAAAAAGGCTACATAATCCTTAAGTTGTTTTGGATTTGATTTGGAATTGTCATGCGATTAGGTTTTGCAGAACTGGGTTCTGGATTGACAGCTTTCATTGTTACAGCATATGGCAACCAGAGCAACTTGTGGCAGATGTGATGCTTAGTCACTGTTAGCTAGTTTTAGATGATCAATGTTATTATAATCAAGGCAAATGTGAGATGTATTTGACATTTAAGAGTTTTGCAGCCTCTCCATCATGCTTAAACTACTTCTGTCAGGCAGCAACACAGCAAGATTCATTCAGAGCTGCAACAGTGACACAAAGTCATATTTAAGAACTAATGATGCAATTTGCTGGAAGTCTGTGTTCCAAAACCCCACATTTTTAACACAACGTGTTCCTCCAGGGGACTACAAAGACCACCTATTACAATGAGTGAGCTCATTAAGCATGCAGCTCCTTAATCTTGCAAGCTGTTGCAAGAGGGTGAAAGGTTGAATTATCAACTTGGACAGGACAGCTCTCTCTCCTGGGCCAGCTGAATAGAAAGTGTTTGAGCAACAGCTTCATTACTATTGAGTGTACCTTTGCACACAAGCAACGCAGTGCTATTTAAGCAACTTGCTTCCCTGACAAGCAAGCAAGACAATCCCAGAAATTAATTGTCAAAAATTTATTATGAAAGCTTCAATAGCAGCAAATATTTCAATAAAAATTATTGCATTATTAAATCGGTTCTGCAGAGTAACTCAAGTGGTCCGTTAAAGTCTGCTCACTTTGGAGTCTCTGTATTTGTCTCAGTAAACACTCTAGCAGTCCATCAAATATTTTTACTTTCTTCTGTGTTTTGTAGACAGCACCAACAGTTTCTAGTTACAGTACTCTGCCCAGTCCTTCTGAAAAGTTTTGGCCTGCTTCCCCCAGCTTTCTCTCTGCCTTCTGAAACATCTCCACTCAACCAGGAAATCTGCAATATTTTTAAGTTCCATGGCATGTCAGCCTCTCCACAGTTGCAGGCTACTGAGGCTAACTGGTGAGGCAAGCTGTTCTCCTCTTTCTCCTCTGTAAGAGCCCACTGCATGCCCGTCAGAGTGACTTTAATCCAGTCTCTTGACCAGGCTAATCCATGGAATCAGCAGCATGTTGCACACTTCAGTGAACTCACACCATGTTGAGAATGCAACAAAGGTTTCAGCCTCCCCAATGCACTGAATGACCATCACTCAGGCAGGGTGATGGTTGGAACCCAGTCGTTGACATTTCGGCTCTCTTCACAAAATGAGTTCAGCTTTTCTAGGGCTGGGTTCTTCCATCCATCTTCATTTGGGTTCTGCCAGAAAGAAGTTGCATGCCATGAGTGCTGATGCCAGCTGAAGTCATCACAATATTTACAGAAGCATTACCATAGGAAACAAGGCATTTTCAGATGGTCTCTGCCCTGACAGACAAAGGAGGAAGAAGAGCTGCTACCCTTGTGAACAAAGGAAATCCACAGTTCTGAGAAGCATACACTACTACTAGTACACCTCCTCAGCTGACTAGCTGTACAGCATGCGCCAAGCTCCCTTCCTTTGCCCAGGAGAGGATCTGACTAGCAACGGAAGATGGGGCCAGCACCAAAAGGCTCTAACCGAGCAGAGCCGAGGCAGGCAGCTCAAGCACAGGCAGCTCAAGCACAACCCCGGCGGGCAGCGCCCCGAGCGCCGCTGGTCTCCCGCGAGGAGGAGGACACCCACCGTGATGAGGATGCAGTGCAGGTCCCGCGGCTCCCCAGACTCCTCGCTGGGCCCGACGATGGCAGCCAGCTTCGCCACGTCGTTCAACCGCAC